TAGCATCGCAAAGCCAACATGAGTATTCTCTGACCTGGGTTTTATTAATCAATCAACCACGGATTAACAATAAAACAGAAAATGTGTTTAGCATTAGCGGTGTGCATGTATCAGTGTAGAATGAGAATGTTTTTTATGAGCGTAAAATGAAGTATACAGCAGTCCTTGTTTAGGATTACTGTAGATATTCATGTGATGAGTTTTTTTTACTTTTTGCATCTAAAAATCTCTCTGAAAGGAAATGTCAATATGGGAGTTAGGATCGGTGTATTATGCTAAAGTTATTAAAGCCTTTTATTCTATTTTTAGTAGCATTCATTGGCGTTGTATATCTCGCTACGTATGGTGCGAAAGAAGTTCTACATACATAATCGCTTTTAGTTCAACAACAAATACATTTAAGCCATTGGGAAGTGCAGTATATAAAAAACAGATGTGCATTTTCATTGTAAGACATGCAATGAATAATACGATTTTGTAAATCCATAGTAGTATTTGATGGTGGGGTTTGGTGAGAGATGTGACGTGTGTGTTTCTACTGCTGCCTGTAGGTTTTTGCAGTTGTGCTGAGTAGCTCTCGGATGTGCCGTGTGCGTGCTCCGACCATGATGTCCGACGTTCCACTTCCCAATGCTAGTAGCTTCAGAACTGAAATGTCAGGCGTCATGCCAAGCAGCATGTGCAATAACCCGAAACACACATCCGAGATGTGTTGTCTATTGTTATTGGGGAATGTATTTTCGCGATGAATTTGGCAAAACAAACTCAAATTCGCGTGACACTTGGGTAAATCACCGAGCTGTCCTCGCATATTTAACTTGGACTACGCTCTTTTGTTAATGATTGACTTTTATATAGTACGAAAGATTGGAGCTCTTCCCAAATTGTCATAAAACAATTGGTGTTCGTTCCCAGCTCTTAGACGAAGTATGTCCGTTTACCCATTCGAACGTGCATCGAGGGATATGTGATTGGAGGAGCTGTGTGATTAATCTCCAAGGTCAATATGGAACGACATCCATGGACTGAAGGATGTAGATTGTTTCCACAGTGGATCGAAACTTGGGGAATTTAGTGGCTATTGAGTTCCATGCATGTGGTTCGTCATCTGGCCAAGAGGCAAACCCAAGTTCTGTCACGTGTTTCATTTGCAAGCTAAGATACCTTAACAGGTGAGTCAAAGAGCCCAACTCATACATTCTTAATAATGAAAAGTGCTCTTGTATAAATAACATACAATATGCAGTACATCCTTTGTGATACTGGTGATAAAAATGGCTGCCAAGAGAGAAAACTCCGACTAGCAAACAGATCAAATGGATGGAGCAATAAAATCAGAGCAATCTGTAAGCATGGGATTGATTGTTTATGCACATCATTAGAGGAATTCGCATCAACACGGAGAGGCCTTGATTCGACAATAAATAGAGAATGGTTGGCAATGCTTTGTTCAGTGGTATACAGTCTACAACAATATTCTCCTATCCTAGGCGGGCTGTCGGTGTCAAGTTCTGTTGGGTAGCGCCTCATAAGGGCTGGCACAGCGGCACGAGATGGCGTGACCACCTTTGTCTCCCCAGCGCTGGCGATGAACACTGCGCACGGTACTAATTCAAGACTTCAGTCCATCTAGGGGGGAGACCCAAGCACGGTTGAAATCTATTGGACCCTGTCTTATCGTGAAGAGGGATTCCAATTCGGGTCGCTGGGTTCATAGCGCATGGCGTTAACCACTAGGACACCACTCCTCCCATCTTTGTTCTTGGTACAAGCACAAACACATACAAAAATGCACATTCTGTTGCAACCACGCCTCAACTTTGTAGGCGTTCTCTACAGTGTTAATTTATATGCTTATTTCGCAACTCTGCAAAAGTTTGATTTTTATTTCCCTGACCCCACCTCGCCACCACTGCCCCGATCACTTGAGCCGCCAGCTTCCAGTCTCGCGCCTGTCACTGGGTGGGCTACACACAGAGGTCGCAAACGAGTTTTGATTCCTTACCCGTACCCGGCCGCACCAGGGTCGCAAACGACGTTCCCTACCTGTACCCTACCCGAAATGAGTGACAAACGGTGACTCACCAGTGACTCACGGCCTACCCGTACCCGGCCGCACCAGGGTCGCAAACGGGTATCGGGTAGGGTACGGGTATCGGGTACTCGGTTGCGACCTCTGGCTCCAGGGCAGCCTGGGGCAGCTTCTCCTCCCGCCCGTGTCGGCGTCTCTCACAAAGGGGTTCTCTGCGAGCAATGCGACAAGAGGGAGACAAGCGGCTGAGGTCCACGGCATTACGTGGATTTAAACCTTAATCCATCATTAAAGTGCTAGGGAGGCTTGACACATCTGCTTATATAGGCAAGTTTTACGGCTCGCAATGTCAGCATTTCTTTATTTTTGTCCCCCGCGGTGAGGGGAATCAAAAACGTTAAACGGACGTCCGGGAGATGAAATATCACCGAGTCAACGATCACGACGATGATGATGGAGCTGCGTGGTTGTGTTCTGCAGACTGACGCAGGTTGTCAACTGAATCGTAAATAAGGAGCTTTCTTGTGTAGTTTAATACATACGAATATTCACATCTGTGATCGTTCTAAGCAATGTTTACCATGTATACATTTTAAATCGCTCAAACATATTTATGGTGGAGGTGATTTTTTTTTTTACAGATGAAAATAAATCTACAGTCCTCCAAACATACGTAGAGTAAAAAGATAAACGTGCAGCCACATAGTCTTCGGTCTTTCGGTAAAAACAAAAAACGACGACGTTTCGATCGCAACACAAGCGATCGTCTTCCTTCTACACGACTTTACCTAAAAACCCAAGAATTTGAATTCCTGCAGTCACGAAAGCTTCAAGTCAATGTTTGCAACTACATAATTGCTTGTTCACCCAAATGGAGGAAAGACCTCCACTTGAGGATTTCTCTACGGAGGGTGTTTTTGGCCTACTCAGAGGGTGTTTTGGCCTACTCTTCCTCCACCACACGAGACCAGCAAGCCAACGAGCTGTGGTGTTATGTAACGTGATCTCAACATAATGTGACATGCAGTACAGCGGTACACGCAGTATATGAACAAACTGCTACCAGCAGTAGAAATTCTCACGAGGCCGATGCAGTGATGGCACCGGAGCATGGCCAGTCGCTGGTATCCACACCGCATGAACCTTGCTGACTGCCCAGACTGGGGGCTGCTTCACCCCCCCCCCCCCCCCACACTGCCAGGCAGGAAATCGATGTGACTGATTCATATAAAAATCAATGTTTTTTCATAATTATTTTTCCTCAATCGATGCGAGGTGCACTTTATTTAAACAAGCGTTCGATGGAAACCGTTGTTCACCTCAGTGGTGTTGAGTTCTGGCTTTAACTGTTGCCAATCGAGCAATGCTTAAATACGACGTCACATTTTTCAGAAGCACCGGCCTTTGGCCCTCGCTATGGACAAATGGATAAGTCAGCTCTAACACACTCTCACATTGGAGCCCTGTCATAAAAAAATGAATATTCTCTTCTGGTATAATACCGTGACAATGATAATAGCTGCGTCTCATATTGATCCCTGAATGTAGGGTTTGTATATAGCTTATGTTATACTATTATCCCTCAAAAACTGCCTACCATAAAATCCTTGTTGATTAAATATATTACAAATAAAAATAAATTATTCTCTTATAGTTCTCTGATGTGTTTTCAGGTTGTACCGCGTGTTGCTCAGCGTGATGTCCAACGTTTCACTCCACGTGCTGGGAACTTCTTCGTATTCTAGATTTGAAGCTTTCGTGACTGCAAGGATTAATATTCTTATGTTTTTTCGGTAAAGTCACGTAGCTTTACCGAAAAAACCTAAGAATAACACACCGTATATCCTAAAAACCCGTCAAAGAGTTATATACAGCGGAACTGCGACAGGAAAAAAGCACAAGCAGTAGAAATGCGACTATTGTGTTGTGCGCTTATTTTCCAAAACTCGATTTAGATTTGCAGGTGTTGGAAACCCTCTGGCTGGCAGATTTTTGCGAGTCTGGGTATTGAATTACCCAACATATGCAGGGCGATGGCCCATTACGTGTGCACTTTTGAAGAGTAACTTTGGACATTTTAAAACTCGAACCTCGGCGCCCGATGAGTCGCTCGTGTGCACGAACCCTGCTGCCCTGCCGGATGTGACGTCACACCAATTTGTGCACAGCGTGCACCCAGTGGCAGATCACGTTCTAAGTAAAACATAGCAATTACAGTCATATTTCCATCATAACAATGGTAGTATTCATAACAAATATGTAGCCTGTGCTATGTTGGCAGTTAACCGTGGGTGTTTCACTGCCCCCGTTTACAGTCGTGTGGCTTTGGCAATTAACCCATGTGCTACTTTGCTACTGAGCAGCTGTAACTTTGCTTGTCAAATTCAACTGCTTTTGACGACATAGTCCATTGATTTAAGTTTGTTATTCCGTAACTACTGGTCCAAGAAACTGGTGGTAGAAACTGATGATCGTGGCTGTTATGATCATGGTGTTAATGATAAAATGATAGAACAAGTAACGGTGATTTTACGTGACATTTTTATAATGCATCGCTTTGTTTATTTTACACTCGTATATTATAAGTGTTGAGCATTCATATCCATTTTATTTTATGTAAAGCGCTCTGATGCACCTTTATTGATTTTAAGTGCGTTACATAAAATAAGCAGAATAATCATTGAGCATTTTTGTGGAGAATATTTATTTTAAAAAATAACACAAAACGCCTCCTTCCAAATGGCTGTTTCTCCACGTATAACACATTTTGTACGACCACTCTGGGCTCTTACACACTCACGGAAGGTTCTGCGGCTGATGGGATGTGCAAAAAGTGTTTTTCAGTCATGTGAAGAGACGAATATGTGGAGAATGCATCATGTTTACTTATTTACTGCACAAATAGAGATTGACTGATTTATTTTAATATTAATATATATTGACTTTTGCTTTTTGCATTTTTTTAAAGGGCTCAACCAAGATCCTGCAGTCGGTTGCAGGGAGAGATGCGAAGCTGAAGGGTAACGATGATAATGGAGGTCACAGGCCTCAGCAGTTTGCAGCAATTCTCATCACCCTGTGTCACCTCATGGCGACCACCATCTGTCTGTCGCCCTGAAGACGACCACGACCCATGCGTAGAGCACATGAGCAGATGAATGCGTGTCAGACGAAAGGATGAAGCTGTATGAAACGTACCCATTGCTGGCCAAATACATCGTTTGCCGTTTTTAATAATGCACACAGCAGAGATTTTGGCCGTAATTGTAATCGCACAGATTTCAGTTTTACGTCGAATTGCAGCCCCTTTGAGTTCATGTTCACGAGAAGCGAGACACAGTTCAAGTATTCAAAAACTTTAGCTTCAGATAAACCTGGAATTATATTGTTTACATGCATAGCACGGTTGGTAAGTAATTTATATTGCATAAATTGTACAACCTGAACTCACTTTTTGCTTCTGACATAAAAACAAATTGATGTTTGGCCAAATTCCCCATTACAGGGAAACCCTAACAGTTATAGTTCTTCATATCAATACCAAATAAGATGCGGGCATATCTAATTGTTCTTCAGCAATGAGTCGCTCATTACACAGAGCTCCTCGCTGCAATGTTTTATTGAAGGTTGAAAAACCTCAGTATCGTTATACATTATTGATTCCTTAATGCAAAATGTAGATCAATGCCACAAAGCAGCCCTCTCAGATTGCAGACAGTATTTTCCGCATATACAAAGTTTTCATTCGCTCGCATTCTGTACATACACGGGTATTATTTTGCTGTACATACATATAAACACACGGTTCTATGTGGCGAGAGTGCACACGAGTGAATAGCATTTAGAGATTGTTCAGAATTTGACATGGGATAAAATGTAATTAAATTGCAAAAAAAACTCAAAATAGCACTTGTGCATAATTGGTCCCAGCAGCTATTTCACAATGAGGTGTTACATTTTTTTGATGGTCTGGATTTTATTTTTGCATCGGTTAATTAAACGAAGCCAGCGACCTCCACTTGTCCTACTTTAATGCCACTGCTGGGAGGTCTAAACCATTCGTGCGAGGCATCTACATTGAAATACTGTTTATCCATTACAATTACAGGACCTCTTTCACTATTGGAATAAGTCACCCTGCTATAACTGGTCCACTGAGTCTTTAGCATAACGGTGCACTACATCACAACACTACAGCGGGAGTAATGCGGTCATGAAGCGCGTGCCAACCACAGTCTAATAGAAGATCTGGACGTTGTAGGAAGCATGCTTGCTCGTGTTCTTTTGGCTCACACATGGCAATAATGCATTCGACAATTTAAATCTCCATCTTTTGCTTATTTTAAGATATTGGTCCTGTAGTGTGACACTGTTTAATGCAGAGGGTGGGGGCATACATAAACTTAGGGGGACACAGCACTGACAATGTCAATCATTAAATGTTAGACGCGGAACAGAATGAGGAATGATATGGGACCCGCTTTTGCCTATTGTGCGTTCTGCTGCTGCAGCTCTCACTCCCTTTGTGAATACTGGGCTGACATTTGATTTACTTGACTCAAAGAATTTAGAAGGGGGGGCTTGGCTTTCATTATTTCAGCAGTGGGGGGGGGGGGGTGACATCCCCTCCAACCTCCCTTCCCAAGGCAGTGGAGCGCCAGCGATTAGACGGTTGGCTACGACGATGCGAAAGAAGTTCAGCGTGCATGCATGCAACATTATTTTAGCCGAACTGCATTTTTTTTAAAGTAGCTCGTGTTCTTTGGATCAATAGGACTTGTTTGTAGTTATCTGCAACATGCTCGGGCTATTGTAGGACTCGTTTTATGTTGTTATTCTATCTGATTATTTTGTATATTTTTTATAACCATAAATCTGGAATTATGCACTTATTTAATGAGTAAAACAAGTTAGAATAGGTATAAATCAAAGCGATAAACATTAGTAACATGTTTAAATATTTTCCAATGAAAAATACTCTTGGGGGTTGTCATGTAACTAAATCATACGTATACAGTTTAACAACTTTAAGAAAACCAAGCTTTAACGTCCTGTGCTCTTTAGCTCTGATAGCTGTCTTGTCGCGTTGCACTGATCGTTGTGCGTCGCGGTGTGCAACGTTTCACTCTACGTGCTGACAGCTTCTTCCCGGTCACTTTAAGCGAAATCTCGGACATCGCTTTGAATTCAGTTCTTGAAGAACCATCCCAGCACGCGGAGACAAACGTGGGACATTGTTGCCGAACGCGACGCGACAACAAGGCCCCAAATACTCACCGGAGACGTTTTTAGAATGCTTGAGACGCAATGGAGGATTGCACTGCCACGGACCACAGACGAAACATGCTTGGGGACGACTGGCATAATAAGCACGCGATCGACGATCCACGATTCGACCGAGGGATGCCCTAGAAGCGTGGAACCTTGGCAGCTGCCACGGCAGAGAGGGAACGACCACCGCATCCAGGGATGAAGAGTGGGGCTGGGAGCCCTGGCAGTACAGCGAGCGGAGCACTGCCGATGGACTGATGATGTTGCTCTGTCCCATGAATTTCGTTACGCGGTACGAACAACGGCTATCCAGGGTGATCCGTTGATAGATACCCCGCTGATTTCTCGTGACCCTCGGTAGACGACTGAATATTGTGAAAGTGGCGGCGATATTATTCCGGAAAAAAGTGCATCAGCAGAGTGTTCAAATAATGTACTCGGTGTTGCAAGATTGGTGCGCGGTATGCAGAGGCTTTGAAATTCAGTAATGTAGTTTTTGCTATAATTGCTAGTATTTGAATAGGGGTATCTATAAACGGATCGCTCGATGGATGTTATATGCTTGAAATGTGGGACACGTAATCCCACTCTGGTGGTGGTACCCTTGGGTGTTGTGTTGGTGTGTCCAGTGTGGTTGCACAGTCTAAAATTTATTTTGAATGATTTTTTTCTTCTACAATAACATTTGAAAACATAATAACCGCGTAGTAGTAATACAACTGGATGGGCCTACAGTACTCCTTATATTAGAACGGCTCGGCAGGGTGCGTTTGAGTCGAATCGGTGTCAAGTCAGTGTAGACAATGTGGGTTTGAATCATGCTGATGCTGTGATATTTCCGTATAAAGCTTTTAAATCCCGCACTCAGCATTGGCATGCCACACAATGTCTATTTTCGTCGTTACAAAATCCTAGGATCCTCCCATGTCATCCAACAAAAATGTACCCTCATCCTCCACACTGTTTGGAATTACATAAAAATACAGGAAAGCGTAGAGGAGGCATTTACATTGCACCTCATCCCGGAGCTTGACAACACCCGTTTTTGTAAATTGAACTCAAAAGAGGTGTCCTCGACGCTACATCGTGGGTACGAACATTAGCACACGCCACGTGTACCACAAATAGCAGTGGGGTCCACATTACACCGTGGCTTATGCAGGTATTTATAAATATGGCAGTGCCATGCAGTTACCGCTGCCAGCAGATCAAGGCTAATTGTGTGGATAATTTTAGTGGGGTATGGGGAGCAGGTGGAGGAAGGAACAGGGTTGGGGTTGGGGAGATTTAAAAAAAAAATCTCCCCTGTGGCTAGACCACTGTTAATATGCCACAGTAATGCACTGACACTCGCAAGTTGAAGCTGCTGTTATCAAACAATTAACATTAGTCTCCTTGGTTACCTTATGTACAGGTGCATGTTACGAATCCGACACATTGTAGTGAGTAATTGCATTTGTTTTAAATGTAGCCCCTACTGCGTCATCCATATACAAATGTCAATTTTTATTACAGTACAGTGAATGACATCGTTGTGTAGTGTAACGCATGGTATACAGTACAGTACTTGTATATGGCAATACTTATCGGTTTCTCGTTGTTAGTTATATTTAATTACAACATACGCTATTTTATTATTAAAGGCCTCTCGATTAAAATGTTTCACGAATAAACCGCGTGGAGACGTGTACCCACAATGCAGTGTTGTCTCGTATCTCAATAAAAAAAACCTTATACTTCAAATCAAGATTAAAAACAACTTTACAGACACGTGGCTTAGAAGTCACAGCCTCCTAGATCGACTCACCCCAGTGCGCACGAACACAAGGCTCATCACACTGCTCACCGACCCGGGCTTGCTGGACTTAGGAGCCCAAGGCAATGTCATCTATTACGATATAGAATCCAGTGCAAAAATATGCACACACACACGCACGTGTGTCTTGTGGTGCATAGTGAAACTTTGCGTGGCTCACAAACTATTGTGCTTTACAATGTTCGGGGGGCGCTGCCGTGGGGTAAGGGCACGCTGGGCTGACACATCCACAGGTCTCCAGTGTGACACGGCAGGTGGAGCAATGGGCACACTCCTTGAGACTCCCCGCTGTCTCCGCTGTTGCGCCCAGCCACGTGCAGGAGATTGGTCCCAGGGAGGTGGCCGTGGTGTGATTTGGTCGTTGAGCGAGTGGGGGAGATGTGACTATGTCGGAGAAGCGGTGGTGGTGTTGTTTTGTTGTTGTTGAAACTCGATTTAAGAGCTTATTGGTTCAGAGGGTAATTCAAAATAAACTGAACTCAACATGTTAAAGGCTTAATTCGTTCCGATAAGCATCGAGTTGCCCTTTTTTACCCCCAAAAAAACTACTTTATAATATTTAAACAATGGATATTAACACGTAAAGACACTAACACCATTATAATCTCAGAATATTAAAATTAACGTGGTTAATCAATTGCATTAACGAATATTTCCTGCAGCTATACCACAGCACGCCGTGAAAGTGTTTGCTGAAGTGAGCAACGTGACGTTACCGAAAGAACCAAAGAGTATAGCAAATGGCAACGCACATTCTGACTTTAACAAAATAGGTGATGTAATAAACTGCGTCTATATGTATTTGGTAATAGCCCTGTGAGCCATGCGGTTTTAAGTCGGGTGCAACCGCAACAAACAAAATATGAACACAGAACATCTTAAAGCGACGACGCGTAACAGAAACACGCTGTAATAAACCAGCAAATATAAAAAAAGTTATTAAAACGCGAGTTATTCTTTAACAAAGAGCCGCCACATGCGGCTCCCGGTCTGCAGGTGGCCGAGCCCAGGCTGAGAGAGACCCGACACACTGTGATCGCAGTGCTGCTACTTGACGTCGAACACCTTCACGTGATGCGCAGCTACCAATGGATAACAATTCGCTTAAACGGCATCATCTTGAGACGGGACACTTGGACATTTAGGAAGAGGATCACGTGATTTGTACTCTTACGCCAAAGTCTGATGGCCATTGACGGTAATGTAACACGTTGATCTTTGCCCACGCTTCCATGTGCCTGTGGCGTCTTGTTTAAGATTTGCTTGGCAGGCTCTACAACCAGAGCCAATCAATCATTGTAGGGGAGACATTTCGGCAGCGAGGTCCAAAGCTCGCCATCTGGAGGTGCCCCCTCGTCGATATCCAATTACTCGACACGACGGTGCTGCGCCTTCTGTTATTCTATCATCACACACAGTTATCAAGGCCCAATTGCAATTCGCGTGGATCCAACATTGTTTTATTCACAGCGGCAGTCGTATTCTGCCATAATCTGCGGTTTTGTATTTCTTTGGACATTCCTTGCCACATGGCATGGCAATTCTGTTCATTTATGACCCCACATCTGACGAGCACGCTTGCTACGTACGGTGGCGAAATAAGTTCAACAAATGTACATTGTAATGAGGCCTTGCGAAGATATTTTATATTGGATGGAAAGTTTTCCAGTTGATAAATAAGTCTTATATATTACCATCATCATCATCATCACCACCACCATCATCATCATCATCACCACCACCATCATCATCATCACCACCATTATCATCATCATACAAAATCAACTGCTGAAAGCCTCCCCAAGCAGTCGCCATCTGTCAAGGTTTCTGCAATGTAACAATCCACTTCGTTCCTGCACACGAGCTGATTTATAAAGTTTAATCTATCTGCAAAGTCATATTCCTTTGCAGGAGCTATCTATATTCTTTCAAATGGTGGTACTGTATATCTCCCAATTACCACTTACTGCACTTGTGAAACTTAACCAACGTGAAGCCAAGAGAGTCCATTCTGCGTTGTAAGCAGTGGCAAAGGGCCCATCTCTCCAGGGGGCCCAACAGTGGAACAGCTTGAAGGCTACCCCCCATCTCAGCATGATGAGGCCAGGGGCAGACTCCAGTGAGACGTGCCCTTCAGGACCCAATTAATGCACATTCAGAACAGTCTGTGGCCTATGAGCCCACGGAGTTCATAAAACAGGAGGTAATAGCTGACCCAGATGCATGAAGAGAGACTTAAAATGTGTTTCTGTCTCTAAACCCAGGATGACCGGAATGGAGACCTGACCGACACAGATGGAACAGCTTTCAGAGCATGAGTGAGCACGTGTGCTCATGCCAACGTACATGTAACTTCGTCTTGATTATGGAGCAGTTAATAGCAATTTAAAACAGCTACATCCATGTTGGAAAGCCACACGATGACCTCAGGTAAGGTTGAATTTATTTTAAATCAGAATCGTTATTTATACTGGAGGAATCCGATGAGCTATGAAGCTCTTTTCGCAGATGTCCAGTAGGGGCACCGCGTAAGACAGTTACAACAACAAAGAGTACAAAAACACGATAGGAGTGCAAAGTATGGAAAAAGTATCCCTCGTTAAATTTACAAAGTTGACAGCAGTCAGGGTCTCCGCAGTCACGTTCTGGGCTCCCTTTGAGTATCCACTTGTGATGGTGCGGAATGGATCTGGCATGGTGGCTTGTGTGGATCCCATGAGTCATGTCCATGCTGTTCACCCAGAGTTGTCTCCAAAGTTCTTTAGCATCAAATCCTGGGGTGCTGACGACCCCAGCCAGTTTCCTGAATGTGGTGAACGATGGTCGTCGAGAAGAATTAAATCAAATGCTAAGCTACTACAATTACAATATGTATATGCAGCTTTACCGAATTAATTTGGTTTCTCTTATCCACAAAAAATGATAGAAAGCATGATGAGCTTAGCTACCAAAGTGACCACCGGTACCTACGGATACGGATATTAGCATTACATTTTACACATGTCTCTTTTGTTATAATAGGAAGAATAGCTCATAGGGTTACAGATAAGACACGCCGTACTGTAAACGCAAACGTTATCCGCTCATCCTAAAAGAGAGAAAACTACTCAAAGGCACGAGGAGGAACGGCAGACAAACGGGAAATGCAGCCGGTGCCAAAATCTCACCCAAGCTCTGCTGTGCTCTATATATCGTGGTGTTATTGGCCGATGAATGAGTCTTTACAGGTAGGGGGAAATCGGAGCACCTGGAGAGAATCCCACGAGTGTGAGGTGGCGACATGTCCTGGAAGGCCACGCCGAGTCCACGGACTCTTCTTCCAGGAGGGTCCGGCCGCTACATTGGGTTTTAATTTTGAACCCTGTTCCTGATTTCGGAGACGTCTGCAAGTTGCAGGGCCTGTGGGTCTCGTTCACTGCTGAATCTCGGGACGCGCAAGCAAGCAGTTCAGCGTTCATCTTATTTAGAGAGGCATAGCGGCGTTGTTTTTAAATACATTGTACTCATCGCTGAGAACCATAGCAACATGACCGCACTCTATGATAGCTGGCGCCAAACTGTGCCACACGCCCTCCTGCATGGCCTTGTGGGAGCCTCGTCCTCAGGTCTTGTGACCTGAAGACGTACCGGTACACGTACGTCATCGGAACGGGAAAGGGTAAAGATGTTTTCAGACAATCTATGTCGTGGTTATATTCACGTTGGAGGAAACCGGAGTGCATGGAGACTATCACCCGTACAGATGTAAATATGAATCCGCTTGCTGTTCCGTCTACTCCGGTGACCTAGGGTATGGCACCTCGACGTCAAGAGGACGGGAGTTTCACAACATTTGTGTGATCCACCAACTCTCGCTGCCTCCACAGTGCTGGATTACAGGCCACGGCACCAGTACAAAGCCGTATTTGACATAGTTACTGGATTGCAGGCCACGGCACCAGTACAAAGCCGTATTTGACATAGTTACTCCGTAAGAATGTAATAGCGTGCAATGTTCAATAACAGTGACATTACTGTGTGGAATCAAAGGTATATACAACAACTGAGAATGAACAAAGTGGAAAAGATACAAAGTGCTTGAGATTTTCGTACTGACACAACAGCACAAGATAAAACATATATGTATGCCTGTCTTTATCTGCAAACACAGAAACAAAGCAGCTATTGATAATTATAAACGTTCTACTTCAAAGTGCACATTCTGCACGTTGCTAACTCGCATTATGTGGAGCTGGTGAGTCTAGGATGCATTGTCCAACGACTCAAGTGCAGGCCACACATCACCACCACCACCAACAACAACAACGAGGAGAGCCTGCCAAATCACTCGCCATAAACAACAAGGCTCATAAGCATGTGGCAGTGGCTGAGTTATTAGCCTTGTTATACGCTAAAAGGTCCCCTCAAAGAGAAATGGAATTCTCAATGTACATCCGTACACATTGAAGGAAAATGACCCCTCATCAAAATAAACACACTGAAAGGAAAATGACCCCTCATCAAAATAAACACACTAAAGGAAAATGACCCCTCATCAAAATAAAATACAAAGAGTTGAGTGCAAGACAAGAATGGCATCACACTGCAGAGGATGATACGGGGAAGCACGTGCTCTTGTGCATTGCAGTCACGGTGGAATGAAAACAAAACACAATTTCAACACAACCTCCGATTACGTACAAGTCATCAAGTCTTCGCTTGAAATATTAAATTATGATTTGCATGCAATTTTGAGACGTGAACATAAATTGTCGTCAATAACAGCTTCAACAAAAAGCAAATCTGTGTATGTAGAGTATACTGTATGTTAAAACGTGTTATTTAATTAGTTTGTTCGGGAGTTGCCGAATGTATGTAAACCAAATTATTTTATT